TATATATATATATAAATAAATTTTTTCAGGATATTGTTTACACTATATATTTTCCAAGCTCCAACCCACTTTGTGCATTTCAGGATGTTTTCCCATATTAAACTGGCTGTTTCTCAAGTTTAAAAAATTTAGTTTTGATCACAAAAACAGTATTATTCAGCATGGTTATATTTTTGCCAATAGTCAAAATAAAGTATATCAGCCATAATTATTGATTTTTTTTTAGTTTATGCCTATTATCATTACAATGTAAAGTAAAGATCATGTTTTATGATGATTCATTCATTTTTTCATTTATTCATTTTAGTTTTCTCAGCCACAGTGGACTGAACCGCCAACTTATCCAGCATATGTTTTTAGGCAGTGGATGCCCTTTCAGCTGAATCCCATCTCTGGGAAATCCATACACACTCATTCACACTCGTACACTACTGACAATTTAGCTTATCCAATTCACCTGTACCTCATGTCTTTGAGTCAGTCCTGCACAGGAAGGATTAAACACAGTGACAGAAGCACTCGTTTTAACTGTCACTGAGTCACTGACAGAGATAGAAACATCAAGTGTTGTCTAGTATTAAAAAAAGAAAAACATTTATTTTTATTTTCATCATTCAGATCGTGAAATATTAATTATTTGAATATAAATTAGCCTGTAAGTTTAAAAATATATATGTATATACATGTCATTTAATTAGAAAAGTGGCAGTTTATTTATTTAATACACGGAAACAAAAAATGCACTTGAATAAAGAAACTACTGTTTTTTACTACAGTAAGCAGGTGGCTTGAGCCTATTTAGCTTATTCAGAACTCGGCTATGCCTGTCTATGTAATACAGTGAAATACTAGTATACAACCTATATTAAACAAACATTTTAAGTGTATTATTATTAAATTATTTATAATTTAATATATATTAATATATATATATATATTTATAATATATATATAAATAAAAGTAGTCACATCCGTCAATCCATAACAAAAAAAAAAAGTGTCACATCCGTAACAAAGCTCTTCCCTCAAAAATGTAAAAATAAATTAAAATCAATCATTTTTGTTCTATGAAAAGCCAACTCTTACCCTTTTGATAAGCATTATTTATTTTGGATTGTGCAGTTTAATTCGCAGAATTTCTACAAAATATGTTGTATTGTTTTGTCACATCCATAATGCACATTTATTTTTCTCATTTAAAGTATAAAAAATGTTAACAGATTGACATTTTTGATCCCATAACCCTGTGTGGTTAGTTGTTTTGGAAAATATAAACAGATGTTTCAATATAATGTTAACGTATACTTTCTCCGTACATTTATGTTTTGAATTTTTACGGCAAATGTCACATCCTCAATGCTGGAATCAGCCATATATATATATA